ATTGGCAAATCACTGAACAAGCAGGCAGGAAAATGCTATCCACAACTAGATAAAGAACTATGGAATCAGAATGCAAATTGAAGCATATTATTTTCCCTCTTTTTTTTCTTTCTCATGTTTTTTCCCTTTTGTTCTGATACTTCTTTCACAACATGACTAATGTGGAAATATGTTTAATATGATTGTACATCTATAGTCTATATCAGATTGCATCTATATTAGGGAAGGGGGAGGGTGGGGAGGAGGAAGGGTAGAGGGGGGGAAATTTAAAACTAAAAATCTTATAAACGTGAATGTTGAAAACTAAAAATAAATAAGTAACCAAATAAATGCATCCCTCTCCCTCTCTGAAATTGTAACTTCTTGCATATTTTTAAAAGTTGAAGTAGCTTTAATACTATAGTCAAATTTTAGCAGATACATACCTGTAGCCTCCACTAAAATCTACTCCTATGCCTTACCATGATCTGTAGGTTTTCCAGGTTTCCAGAGAAACTACAGTCAGAAAAACAATGAATCTATTAGGTCTTACAAAACTGGAAGAGCTTTAAATATGGGCCTGGGGATGGACTTTTATATCATCCAGGTATCATCCAAGCTCCAAGCCTTTGAAAAGGCTTATTGGTGGCCAACAATTAATGTTCCTTCCACTCACACTGACTCAGGAAGAATCATAAAATCTGGGGGATTGAAAGCACCAAAGATATTATCTGCTACAATCCGTACCTGAATCCCTTTACAACATCCATGATAAGGGTTTATCCATCCTATGCCTAAATTTCTTCAATGAAAAAATAACCATAGACAGCATAACTGTATTTTGTTATTAAATATATTTAATTAAATATAAATTATTAAAATTAACTATAGACAGTATAAAATACCTGGGAGTACACCTGCCAAAACAAACCCAGGAACTATATGAACAAAATTTTAAAACTTTTTTGTACAAGTAAAAAGAGATTTTAATAATTGGAGAACTATTTATAGTTTATAGGTAGGCAGGGCTAATATAATAAAAATGACAGTTTTACCTAAACTAATATATTTATTGAATGCCATTTCAATTAAATTACCAAAAAAAAAATTAACTGAGTTAGAAAAAAAATAACAAAATTCATTTGGAAGAATATCAAGGTCAAGAAAGATCACTCCCTTCCCTTGAGTCAAGAGGGTATCTGTTAACCCCTTTCATAGGAGAAGAGAGTTTCACCCTTTCCTCCTCACCTTTGATTTTGCCCTCCTCCACCTGGCGAAAAGAAGGAGGGGGAGGGGCAGCAGCTACAGCATGGGCCCCCCTAGCAACGGCCTTGGGCCCTAGGCCAACCTTTGCTGGAAGCATCACCCAGGTTCAGCACATCTTGCTCAAGGTAAAGAAGCTAGCCTCCAAACTTGGGTAAGCACACTCTTTTTAAAGTTGTAGTTTTAACTGTTAATGATGAGATATTGATTTTTTGTATAAAGTAATTTGGAAATGCATCTAACAAAACTCAATTAAATGCATTTAACAAAACTCAGTTAAACTGTGGAAAGTCAGCATTGGGAAAAGTTGAGAGGAAAATTTTAGCCTCAGTCTAAGATGGGATCCTCCTGGCTCAGTTTCCCCATTATGTTCCTTTGAAAAGAAATGTTACCCACCTGGCTATTCCTGAGTCTGGCTATGAGGTAGATTTGATATTGCATGGTTGAAAAACTGAATTACCTGAATCCAAACAGAGCTAATGATGTTTTATCCTGTCATATCTGGACCCTGCAGTCTTTTCTGTCAGATTTGTGTCTTCCAGACTATAGGCCATTCACCTATAATTGATAGCAAACAGTGGGTACCAGCCAATGTACCCCCATCATTCCTTGGATGCAGCTTCTGCTTGGTTCCAGTCAAGCTCCTCTTTGGGACCCTCTTGAGTCAGGGACAGCTGTACGCCCCTTGCCAGGAGGAAGCAGTTTCAGAAGCCAAAATCTTTGCCCCTTACCCCAAAAGAATTTAGGTCCCATTTTTTTGAAGGGGCAATGATGAGGATGGGAGCTAAACCCCAAAAGGAAAAACTCTGGACTTTCCACATGGCCAAATCTCTGGTGTTTGCCTGAGGCTATAACCCCATTAACTGGCCTTTCATTGCGGCTATGCCCAATCTCCCAATTCTATTACCCTTAACCTAGCCTAGCCCTCCATTGTCTTACCTCCCTATGGCCCTCTGCCATTTCCCACCCTTAATCCTAGCTAGGTTCCAATCTCCCTTGGCCATGAGATCCAGGTCCCAGGCATTCTGCTCACCCCAGCTTACTGGCCACTCCTATTCAGATCCTCTTTAGATCCCTCCCACAGTTTTTCTGTATATAAGGTTGATCTTGTCTCCATTAAGGTGCTCAGATTCTTAAAATCTAGCCACTGCTCAGATTCTTACAATCTAGCCACTGCTCAGATTCTTACAATCTAGCCAATAGCTCACTAATATTCAGACTGCTTAAGAGTCTGCCCAATATGACAGATGTTCTAATAAACCTTGTCTTTGGCTGAAAAAAAAAGAACTTTGAGGGACTAAGTCATTTTGAGGATTTTAATACTCAAATTAACTATAAAGGACCTATGAAGGAAGATACTATCTGCCTCCAGAGGAAGAACCAATAAACAGAAGCATGTGTAGTATGATTCTATGTACACATGCACACACACACACATGCACACACACACATATTTGTATCTAATGGTAGTCATCTCCAAGGCAGGGGGGAGGGAAAATATAAAAAGTCCATAGCAAAAAATAAAATTTAGAAAGAAACATAGAAAGCAGAGTAGCTTTAAAAACTATATGTAGTAATTATATAGTTTTTTTTAAGTAAACAATGTGCAATAAAAATTTATGGTTTTATAGTGAATCCTCTTTTTATGTTGCACTGTGTATATGGAAATGTTCTTTTTTTCCTTATGTATTTAGGTTCAAATGAATAAATAAATAAAATGAAAGAAAGAAAGTTAATTTCATCCCCACATAGTCTATTTCACATAGCACTAATTGCTAGACAGCTCTTCCTTACATGGAACCAAATTTGTGTGTTAAATAGTTCTTCTTTAAACAGAATTAAAACTAGTTTTCCTATTTTTGCCTTCTGGACCTGAATGAAATAAGTCAAATCTCTACTCCACAAGATGGCCCTTCAAATTCTTGAAGATATTGATCATACACCACTAAGTCTCTTTGCCAGACTGAGCATCTCTAGTCCCTTCAATTGATATCATCTGGGTATATCTTTTAGGCTCTTTACCATCCTGGTCATCCTTCTTTGGATGGACTTTGGTTTGCAATTACCATCCTAAGACATAGGAGTCAAAAATAATACTCTAGATATAGTCTGATTAGGGATGACTACAGCAAGATCTCACTAATTCCATGTATTAGTCTAAGATAATATTCTCTATTAATTCAGTCTAAGATAATATTAGGGCTTTTTTTTGGATGCCCCCTATTCCCAAAATCATATAGCATAATGTATCTTGTGTAGCTACTATTGATTCATACAAAGTTTGGAGTCCACTAAAAAGTACTTTTCACATGAACTATCATCTAGTCATACCTCTCCCATTCTGTACTTGTTCAGGTGATTTAAAGAAAAAAAAATCATATGAAAGACTTTATATTTACCCTTATTAAGTTTTAAAATGATTTTGTTCTATCGATGCAAACTTTCAGGATCTTTTTAGATCCTAATTCTGTCATCATCATAATACTTATTGCTCTTATTGAAACCTGAAAATTACTTCTTACCTATTGAAGACAATAAATCTAATAAACAAGAGCAAATATTTATGCAGTATTTTAATATTTGCAAAGTGCTGCATAATCTTACTTGTTATCTATTTCAACATCTAAATCTTTGGTAAAAATGTCAAAAGAACTGAGTCAAGGTTGAATTACTAAGACATTCCATCAGAGAACTCCTCCAAGCTGGCATTGAACCATTAATGGCAAATCTTTAGGGCTGGTCATTCAAAGTGTTATCAGTCCATCATTATACACTGTCAGTTGCCTATCATTTGGGGAAAAATTGAATAAATTATTTTATTTGAATACAATAGAATATTACTGTGTCACAGGAATGGATGAAAGGGCTCAATCAAAGAAACCTGAGAAGAACTGCATGAACAAAGCAGAGCAAACTGAGCAGAACCAAGAGAAAATATATATATATATACACAATGAATACAACATTGTAAAGGAAAACAACTTTGAGACACTTAATGACTCTGATAAATGTGATGGTCAGTCATGACTCTAGAAGGCAGGTGACAACATATTTCCCATATTTTGGAAGAAAGTCATGAATAAGAAGTGTAAAATGAGATGTCCATTTTCAGACATGATTTGCTTGACTATATTTGTTGCCAAAATAGCCTTTAATTTTCTGAGGGAGGACAATGAGGATAGGAGTAGGCAGGGTATGACAGTGATACAAAAAAAATTATAAGAAAAGAATATAAATGAAATACTAAGAATAGGAAAAGAAGTTTGGGAAAGGACGTCAGCAAGCAGGACAGTGTTTGTACTATTGAGTTAAATTAATATAGGTTTTTTTAATAAGCCATGTTGATTAGATTTATAATTCCATATTCAATCCTCTTTTTCTAGCCAATGTACATGGAAATGTTCATGTTTTGCTATACATATTCATTTATATTTTTAAAAAACATTTGATTCATAGAGCAAAGCACCACCTTAAAAATTTCTTCCAAGGTATTTCCTATGAATACCTCAAAATTGTTCAAAATTCCTTAAAAGAAATAACAACAGAAGTAACCTGCAATGATCCTTTAATTTTAAACTTTAGGTAGGGCAAAAAACAGGGAGATGTCCATTTACCAAGGTAATTTAAAATAAATTATTTCTGAACTTTCAAAGCTTTTCCTCTAATTTTTTCAAGAGAAAAAGAAAAAAAGACATTTTTAGAGGAAAAGGTGCTATGTACGTCACAGATGCAAAAAAAGAAGTTTGAAAGTTACTTACATGTTTTTAGGACGTTTCCTTGGCCAAGAAATTCACAATTTTCACTTTTAGTGTTCATTGAGTCTATTACACAACTAAATAGAAAATAATTTTAAAATCACTAAGTAACTCTATCACACATCACCTAACCATAACATTTTAATTATCATATTCATGTTGATATATTACTACAAATGAATTAGCAACTGATATGTTTGTGCTATTGTTTTATATCCCCAGAACATATTGCAACTCCTGGCATAAAGTAAGTATTTAATAAGTGCTTATTGATTGATTTAAGTAACATTATTGAGATGAACTTGCATATCTCAAATGAATCACATTAATTTCTGATTGAACTATTGGTCAATGAGCAAGTTTTTCATTCAAATGGTACTTTATGAAATCAAATATTATAATAGAAACACAATTAGAAATTCCAATTAAGAATGACCCAATATATAGTCCTACAAATAACATTATTAGAACAGCAATCTTATGCTGTTTTTTCAACTCATTTATTATTTTGAATTAAACTATTTCATAATAGCTTTCCAAAGAACTAAAGGTTTTTGATGAAATATAGAGCTGCCCCAAGTGCCTTGCCAACCCCAGGGGCAGGCTCTTTTTAAAAGCAGCCAAAAATCTTCAAGGATATAAACTGAGGCATCTTAAAAGTAAGTATGCGTTCATGAAGTCAGAGCCTAGCAGCTAACCATCAGGGGAGGTCAAGATCTGAGATATTTCAGTAGTGGCACCATGCCTTTTTGCTGCCTTTATAGCCAACTTTTTCCTTATTCCAAATAATGTAATTTTGTTTGGTTGATAATAATTTGTGAAAGAAATATTCATGAAGCTGAAGGGAGTTAGAAGGGAAGTAAGGAGTTAGAAGATAATAATTTTTACTGCCATATTGAAGTGTTCATCTTCAGCATGAAGAACTTATATGGGTCCAGATGTACTAGATTGGGGGTAGGAGTGGGGAGGGGAGAGGAATAACTACTTCAAATTCTTGAAAGCAGTTTTCACAGAATATATTTAATGTAACACTGTTGGGTACATTTCAGTAAATGCATATCAGGTAAATTCCTAAAAGGGGGACAAATTGGCAGTGATAATCCCTAAGTTACAAGAATTACAGGAAGAAAAAAACTGAGGGTCAGATAATTTTAATCATGTTGTTAAAGTAGGAAATGAAGTGATCTGAATTTCAAGGACAAGAAAGTATTAAGGACCTTGAGTAATGAAAAGGTTTGGAAAAGCTGTTAAAAGTAGTGTGATAAGAAGTCAAAAAGATGATTAAAAAGATTTTTGGGGTGGAGCCAAGATGACGGAGTAAAGGCAGTGACTTGTCTGAGCTCTCCCCCAAACCCCTCCTAATACCTTTAAAAAATGACTTTAAACAAATTATAGAGCAGCAGAACCCAGAAAAAGACAGAGTGAAACAAATTTTCAGCCCAAGAAAACCTGGAAGATTGGTAGGAAAGGTCTGCACCAGGGTAAAAGAGGAACACAGTCCAGCACAGACTGCATCATCACAGCCCTGACTCCAGCAAACCAGGAGCAGGTCTTAGGAGTCACTGAATCAGCAGCTGCAGTGGCTGCTTTCAGAGCTCTCAGCCCACACATAGTAAGGGAGTCAAACAACCGGTGAGATTGCAAGGGTTTCTTTGCTAGCACTGAGGCAGGATTCTGTTGCTTTGCCCATACCTGGATCCAGGTCACAGTTCTAGGTGGCAGTCCCAGGGCAAGGAGGAGCACTCGCATAGCAGAGCTTGCAGCAACAGTGAAGGGGGGGATCCTCCTCACAGTTCCAGGGCAGAAAAGAGTTCCTGTGATCTCTCATAGACCAGAGCCCAGGACAGGTGAAGAGTAAATACCTCTCCTTAGATCATACCACCTTTGAAGAACTGACAACTTGGGGCAGCTAGGTGGCGTAGTGAATACAGCTCTGGCCTTGGAGTCAGAAGGACCTGAGTTCAAATCCACCCTCAGACACTTAACACTTACTAGCTGTGTGACCTTGGGCAAGTCACTTAACCCCAACTGTCTCACCAAAAAAAAAAAAAAAAAGAACTGAAAACTTACAGGTCCCTAGAAGTATCTCCGAAAACAGTTGTAAAAAACCCCTGAAGCTTGGGATAGTGCACCCTGCACCCTGGAAGCAGAGTCCTACTTTAACAAACAGTTGGGAAAATTAGCAAATTAGCAAACAACACAAAAAAATAAAACTCTGACTATAGAAACTTACTATGTTGACAAGGAAGATCAAATCACACACTCATAAGACAACAAAGTCAAGGCTCCTACATCCAAAACCTCCAAGAAAATTTGAATTAGTGTTAGGCCATGGAAGAGTTCAAAAATGATTTTGAAAATCAAGTAAGATAAATAGAGGAAAAATTGGGAAGAGAAATGAGAGAGATGCAAGAAAATCATGAAAAATGAGTCAACAGCTTCATAAAGGAGACACAGAAAGTACTGAAGAAAATGACACCTTAAAAAACAGGCTAGGCCAAATGCTAAAAGGCATACAAAAAGCCAAAGAAGAGAAGAATTCCTTAAAAAGAAGAATAATTCAAACAGAAAAGGAGGTCCAAAATCTCACTAAAGAAAATAATTCCTTAAAAATTAGAATGGAGCAAATGGAAGCAAATGACTCTATGAGCAATCAAGAAACCATAAACAAAACCAAAAGGATGAAAAAATAGAAGACAATGTGAAATATCTCATTGGAAAAACAACTGACCTGAAAAATAGATCTAGGAGAGATAATTTAGAAATTATTGGACTACCTGAAAGCCATGATCAAAAAAAGAGCCTAGATATCATCTTTTAAGAAATTATTAAGGAAAACTGCCCTGATATTCTAGAACCAGAGGGTAAAATAGAAACTGAAAGAATCCACCACTCATCTCCTGAAAGAGATCCCAAAATGAAAATTCCCAGGAATATTATAGCCAAATTCCAGAGTTCCCAGGTCAAGGAGAAAATATTGCAAGCAGTCACAAAGAAACAATTCAAGTATTGTGGAAACACAATCAGGATAACACAAGATTTAGCAACTTCTACATTAAAGGAATGAAAGACTTGGAATATACTATTCTGGAGGGCAAAGGAGCTAAGATTACAATCAAGAGTCACCTACTCAGCAAAACTGAGTATAATCCTTCAGGGAGAAAAATGGACATTCAGTGAGATAGAACAGTTTTGAGCATTATTGAGAAAAGACCAGAGATGAATAGAAAATTTGACTTTCAAATAAAAGACTCAAGAAAAGCATAGAAAGCTAAACAGGAAAGAGAAATCACAAGGGACTTATTAAAGTTAAACTTTTTACATTCCTACATGGGAAGATGGTATTTGAAACTCATAAGCCTTTTTTTCATTATCAGGGTAGGTAGGAGTATACATAGACCGGTGTGAGTTGAATATGAAGGAATGATATCTAAAAAAAATGAAATTAAGGGATTAAAAAGGAATGTAGTGAGAGAAAGAGAAAGGGAGAGGTAGAACAGGATAAATTATCTTGCATAAAAGAGGCAAGAAAAAGCATTTACAATGGAGGGTAAGAGGAGGGGAGGTGAGGAGGAGTGAGTGAACCTTACTTTCATCAGAATTGGTTCAAAAAGGAAATAACATACATATTCAATTGGGTATAGAAATTTATCTTACTCTACAGGAAAGGAGAGGGGAAGGGAATAAAAGATATGGGAATGATAGAAAAGAAGGCAGATTGGTGGAGGGTGTAGTCAGAAGCAAAACAGTTTTGAGGAGGGGCAGGATAAAAGGAGAGAGATAATAGAATGGGGAGAAATAGTCTGGTGAGAAACAGTCTTTCACAATATGACTATTATGGAAGTGTTTTGCATGACTACATATGTATAACCTATATCCAATTGCTTGCCTTCTCAGTGGGGGTTGGAGATGGGGAAGGAGGAAGGGAGAGAATTTGGAACTCTAAGTTTTAAAAATGAAAGTTAAAAGCTGTTCTAACATGTAACTGGGGAAAAATAAAATACTAAATAAATATTAAGTGCTTACCACAAAAAAATTTACAGCAGTGTGCCCCAGGTTTGCTTAGAGGATAAATTTTAATGGGACTCAATAAGCAACATTTGATGGTTTTCAACAGCAATGTTTGGTAGTTCAGGTTTAGTAGTGGAAGAGAAAGACAGTAAGAATTGACCAGAGTTGATAATTAGCAGGATAAAAACTACAAAAGATCAAAGGGCAAAGGGGGAGGGGGGACAATGGATTCAAGAAAAGAGGAGCATGAGTAATTGAGGTGGTCACCTATGGAATTGAGTCTAAATAGGAAAGGAAATCAGGTAAGAATAGGAAGGACAGAGCAGACTAAGGAACAAAAATATTGATGATGGAAAACAGAAACTATAGGAGTAGGGGGTTGAAAATGACAAAAAATTGTCACCAGAAAAGTTCAATTTTAAAATTTAGGATTTTGATCATGATATAATTTTGAGGAATGGTGAGGTCTATGTTGTGATCACCTAATGGATTGCAGAATTAAAGTGGACATCATAAGCACTGAAAATTTGTTGTTAGCATAGGATATAGAAGGAGTGATTGTGAAAACTAGCTCTGAGGATGATTGGGGTAAGGGTAGAGAAGAAAATTGTGAGTCAGACCCCAAAGTTATGAATGATAGGATTTAGTCTTGGAAGGAACTTTAAAGATTCTCTAGTCTAATCTCATCTTACAGATGAAGAAACTAAGATCCAGAAATTGAAAGTGACTCAATTATATAAGTAATAAATAGCACAGCAAGGATAAGAACTTGGGCCCTTTGATACTAAGTCCATCATTCTTTCTACTACATCATACTTTCACTCTGGAATGACGATTTTCTTCTTGTTGGGAAAATGACTGAGTAATGAGTAGATGACAGGGACAAGGACTTGGAAAGAGGTATAACAATGGTGTACATCCTTCAAAGGAGACATTGTTGAATGGTGGTGACACAGCAGTAGAGAAAAAGGAGTGCATTGATTCATGGTCCTATGGGACGAGAGAAGTGATTATAAACATTAACCAGAGGTATAGAAAACTCAGAATAAAGGCAGATTTCAGCTAA